ATCATCATCATCATATTCACCATCATCGCCGCCACTATCATCGTCGCCACCATCGTCATCACCATCACCATCACCATGACATTCACAATGATCAGCTGCAGCAGAACAGGTTGGGCAGGACTTGGGCGTCGACTATGGTCCACACGCCATGCGCGACGTGTGGTCTGGCGAGAGGACTTGCGATGAGACCCTTGGCTCTGTCGTTTGATTGAAGTAAGGCCTCCAAGATCAGTCTTTGCCACCAAGTCCCCGGTTCCAAAGCTGAGCTCTGAAAACGAAGAGCAGCCCAACCCCTCACACACCCCCAGCAAACTCCCTTATTAGAGCTTCAGCGAGCCCCTACCCACAGCAGAGCTGAGGACCTTCCTCCAGCTGATCAAACTGATGGGCTGGCAGGAGAAGCTCCGCCAGGTGAGGCATCGACTGCCTGAGAGCAACCAGGAAATGCTCCAGGACTCGGGGCTTTTTGGGGGAATTTGCTTGGAGCAGGTTGGCCTTCTTCTTGACTTGAGTGGTCAAAGTCAAGAATTTAGGATTTCAGGTTTGTTCTTCTATGGGCTTGGATTTAGTTTTTGCGTTTTTGCTGTGATGGCTCAGGGTCCTTCTCGGCTTCGCGTTGTCCTTTGGGGGGAGATTGGGGACTTCACACCAGGTAGCAGAGCATCCGGACAACCTGCTTAGCCCCTGTCCGGACGAAACAGGCAGGATAGACGGTCGCACCAGGTTGATTTGCACGAGAGGATGGCGGCAGTGTCACCCGCGTCTGTAGCTTAGAGATGTAGAGCCTTTCTTCTTAACTGTCTTTGGACGTTTTGATCAAGAAACGAACTACGGAGCAACAGGCTCGACCTCGGCTTAGACCTCTGCAGGGCTTGTTTTTCGGGTTTCGGGCTACCATTTCCGTCTGTAACCTGCTCCCGATACTCCGAAGCGCAAGTGGAGGACCTGTGAATCCCCAGGCCACTGGGGCTGCTTCACGCACGCAGGGCGAGGTACTCGCCCGACTTCCACTGGCAGCTCCCGCCGCCTCACCCTTTGTACAGAAGGGGGTCCGAGGAGGAGGAGGATGCCAGAACTGACTGGGCCAGAACACGCAGCTAAGGTGCTTGAACTGTTTGGAGCTCTCAGTTGCGGAAGACGCAAAAAGGATCACTTGGATCGACTTGCATGTCTTCACCTCTCCCGAACTTCCCGTCCTGAGACGATTCAAGCTTCAAGCCCAACTTCCTGTCCCTCCCCGACTTGCTAAACCCTTCTTTTGGTCTTTTGGGAGGCCTTGTATGCCACCTGGACTGCTGGCGAAGCCTTGCTAGGTGGCTTTGAGACGTTCATCACGACTAGGACCTAGGAGTATTTCAGAAGCCAGGGGTGTTATTGGGCTTGAGTCGAGGGAACAAGGGGGAAGTGATCGGAACTGTGTAAAATCGTGCACGCAAGTAGGATACATGGCCTTGCGTTCCATGACGAATTTGCAGTGGGCTCGGGCTTGGTTTCTGCAGCTTGGAGCACGGTGTGCCCCTGCTGTGATCAATACTATCGCTGCACGTGCAAACTAAAGAGTCTGTTGCTATTGCAGCTTCCTTGCCGGCGAGGACAACATTAACCCTATTTCTTCAGTTATGCCCTATTACTGTGCTTACTACCCATGTTTTGTCTGCTGACCATGATTCCCAAAGCCTAGACTCAAAACCTCAAGACCTTGAGCATTCTCACTAGATTTGGGGTATCTCTAGTAGCTCAGAGCTGAGGGCTAGAGCAGAGACGCACAGACATGTCACAAAGGGGACAGTGGCGAGCAAGAGTACTAACACTTGTGCGGCTACGAGTTCGAGCAGCAATAATGAGCAGCAGTAGTGCTACACTACCCCTGTTCGCCCGAAAGCCTCTAGACCCTAGATGCTAAGCCCTCCCCTGCTTAAAGAAGTAGGAAAACTCGTGATGTTTGCCAAGGTCTCGGGATGTCGGCAGGCCTGGTTTTTGCGGCCTCAACGCTTCTGGCTGACGCCGATCGCCACATTGAATCTTGGACGGGCATGACGGGCTTGGGGTTCGGGGCTTAGAGGTTGGTGCATCTTGGCAGCTTGTGACGGTGAATCCCCCCTGTGAAACCGATGAACTTCGGAGAAAGCCTGCGCAGACATTGCAGCGAGCCATGACTAGTCTTGAAATCGCATGGCATTGCAGTGCTGTCCTTCTCCCGGCTGGTGCGGCTGTGAAGCACGACGCCTGCTAAGAAGAGTAGGCAATCCTAAACCCCCAACCCCGTACCTTAGGCCCTAAAGCCCTAGACCAGAAGTGCCCGAAGTGTCCCAAACCCTCATCGGACTGAGGAGTCCGGCTGGAAGTTCGTTTGGTACTTTCTTTGGATCAACTGTGTGCTTAGCGTCTCCTCTGCTGCGACAGCCGTGCCGTCCCTTTGAAGCAGGTGGTTTTGCAAATGGGGTTCGGGGTTGAGGATTTGAGTTTTTTTTTTTTAGGTGTTTGGTCCAGAAGGCTGGCTCATTCGCTTGATCTTCAGTGGCCACTCAAACTGGTATCCACTATATCTAGAATTGCTAAGAGTAGGTACCGACAAGGAAAGATGGCGGGGCCCAGTTCGCCTGGAATCTCATCCTCAATCCTCACTCAAAGCCGTGTAAAACCCCGCACAGACCTGAAGAGACATGCAAAAAGAAGCCGTGAACGTAGAATTCAACAGTTCAAGTAGTGTGAGGCTTCTGTGTTGCCTTCCGCGTACAGCGGAAGCCCGGAGCATTCTCCATTCTGCTGAAGAACAGCAGGCCCGTTGCAGCTTGGGATTTGAGACTTTATGGAGGCTTGCTGGTTAGGGCGTAGGGTAGGGTTCTAGGGCTTCGGGTCTTAGAGTTTGGCTCAGTGCTTGGTGATTTTGGGTCGAGGGCTTCAGGGTTCAGGGCTTGACATGGTATGTTGACGGCATAGAACAGTCGTTATGAAGTTATGAAGCATAGGATAACCACTATTCCCATGTCGGTGTAAAGGGAAAGCTGCTGTAGGATGTTTTAATAGGAACGGGCACTCTACAGTATGTTAAACTCGTGACGCGCAACAACGATATCTGAGCAACATGGGTCGTCGTTCGATCCAGTATGATGATATCCTGAGACACGGGTCACCATAGTCGTGCCTGGAGGATCAGTGAACCAGATAAGGCAGTTCGTCGGAGTTATGCTAGTTAATAGCAAGCCTCGAAGCTCTCAACCTTTTGTGTAGGGCCTGGCAGTTTCTGGGCCCCTGAAGGTTATCGGAGCTGGCGACGAGGAGGTAGCAGAGATGGGGCGGATCGCCGTAGAGATCGAGAGTACGGAGGCCGCACCGGGAAAAGCTTGGCAGGAAGTTTGGTTCACGTTCGCCTCACGCAGTTTGTGTGGGCCAGAGTCGAAGTTTGCATTCAATGGACTTGGTGCCGTGGGCGTCAGTCCTTACATCCTGTTCGGTATGTTTCTGCATGACACTGCTGGTGGTCAGCGTTCACCACACTGCACCAAACACATACAAACGAAGATGCATACCTCAATGCAAAACACATGCAGATGTGGACATACTGTATGTAAGCTCACGTCTGTGCATTTCTGTAGACCTAAACGATGTTCCATGCGACATTGTCTTCACAGTCACAGATGCTGTTCCCATTACCATCGCCAGTCTCCCTCTTCGCACCACTCCTTCTTGCGATCATCATTCTCCTAGTTAAAGTGGTGCCTCAGACGGCATGTACTGTAGTGCTTCAGGATTCCTTTCCGGGTTCTTCTAACGGCTTCTACAAGGCTACCTGCAAGGTCCTACAAGGGTTCTATCAGGGTTCACGCGCTGTTGTACAGTACGTATTGGTTTGCACTACCGGAGCCTCGTCCTGTACCATTCAATTCGCATCATGCTTACTCAGCTGCCAAAAGCCAAGGCAGGAAACCCTAAATCCTTAACATTTATATGCCGAAGCCTCACAAACAGCTTGGACCAAATCCTGTTCAAGTGCCGTAACTGTGGCAATTATGGTACATCCCACGAAGCGATAAACCAAAGCCCTGAAGAGCTTTGCATTGTCAAGACCTTGCAAAAATCAACGGGCCCTTCTTATGGAGAATGCGTGATTTCCTCCATGGGCAAGAAATGCTCTGCGCTCCAAGGGGTCGCATGCCTCGCCTCGAAAGCGCAAAGCTTGGAGGTCCGGAGGGTTTGGGGCCTCCGGGTTCATTGTGGCGACGAAGGACGCTACCACAACCCCACAACAACGACAACAACTACTACGACGACGGAAATAGCTACTGCTGCTCCTACTATTACTACCAGTTGCTCCGTTCAAACACGGTCTTCTACGGGTTTTATGTGTGGGGCTTCATGGCTCTCGCTGCTCATCCCGTTGTTCTTATGATGATCGTGGCGGGTAGATGGATTCATGATGGTGCTTTACCTGCTTCTCTTGGATGGCGAGGCTTTAGTTGCTGTGCTCTTGTAGTCTGGCGGTGTGGTCTGCGTTCTGGTTTATGGGACTGTCTGGGAGAGGGGTTTCGGGTTTAAGGTTTGGGGGTGTTTGGGGCCGAACTCCTAAACCACAAATGTGGACATCTAGATACTAAACATCGCAAGTTCCGAATCTCTCCTAGGTATCTCAGATTCAGTGTCATGCACCCTAATTCTACTTGGCCATGCGTGATGACTCGCATGGCCGTTGCCGCGATCCTGCTCGAGTTTCTTCAATCTCCCTCTCTTCTCGTTGCTGTTAGGCTATTGTTTTCAGTAGCCATATTTGTACAGTCGCAACTGAGTCACAAAGAGGGCACGAAACCTATGTCTGCATTATTTCAGGTGGTTCTATGTCATCTCCGGCAACCTGCCTGCACTCGGCAGACGGTTTGAGGTTTAAGGCTTCAGGGGCCTCCTGCGCCGGGACCAGTTTCTGGTTTGCAGTACGACCTGCCAGCGATGGGTCGATTCTTTGTCAAGGCACCAAGGACCAAGGATGTAAGTCTAAGTGGTGTCAACGACAGCCGACTTGCAAGTTGCAAGTGTGACAGAAGTCATGGTGGCTATCCTTCTCAGTGAGGAGCCCCAAACTCTCAACCCCCAAAGCCTAAGCCCGGGCTCGTCTATGCTGCGGCCATAGCATGGCCATGAGTCGAAGGGTCACTGCGCCATTTTGGCAACATAAGGGTGCCCTGTTATTATGTCCCTACCGTTTCTGTTTCCTAAGCAAGCGCACTGTCAAACGATTCCCCGAGCCCCCCAAGCCTGGGGCTCAGATCTGAACCAGACAACCCCAAGGCCAAACCGAACCCGAACGCCAGGAGCAATCTGCTGCAGTTGCCTGGCTACTTGGTCGCTATGAGGAATCCCAAATCGCCTGCCGTCCATGGAAAACTCTGCTGATTATTTGAGTGGGCTGCGTTATAGTTTCATAGGCAACAGCCCTGTAGGCTTCCAGTGCACTAGTCGCTACTGTAGCCCTGAAGCTCTATCCTCATAATTTTTAACTCCATATGCTCCGAGAAGCTCAGGCCCCGATGGCAAAGTCCATAATTCAACCTTGGATCTGAGAGCGTAAACCTTCATACCCCAATAAATGTAGCACAGACGACGAACAAATCCCGAAATCCCCAAACCTGAAGCCCTGAATGCCCTAAACGCCAAAGGTAGGCTGCACGGCAGTCTTCCTGATGATTCACGCCTTCCCACCGGGTCACAGCCTAGCCTCCTTTCAGGCCAGGATGGGGTGGAAGTGAAGAGAGTTTTGCCAAGGATTTTACGGGGTCCTTGTGAAGGATCTGAATGTAGGTTCCTACAAGAAGGGTTCATGCCGGATAACATTCTCTCCTGATTATGGTGGCTGAAGACATGGGTTTCTTGCCAAGGTCCCAGGCTTTGGACTATGGCTGCCATAGCAGCAAGATGCAATCGAGCATCATATTTACAGTGGTCACTGGATATATAAAGCCCTTATAGTCATCGTAGCAAGCATTGTATATAATGTTGCAGTACATGGAACCCAAACCACCCCAGCACCCATTAAGCTCTTTTGAGGCCAATAGTTGGTTTACCAATCTACCTGGAGCAACACTCCTTGGGCCGATAGGGTTCGGAGAGCTCACAGGCAAATCCAAAAACAAGCCCTAATCAGGCATATTATCAGGACTACTAGGGACTGTGTGACGGATGGTGAGAATCCAAGCCATTCCGAGTTTCGCAACCAGAGTTCACAGTCAAGATTGTACAAGAAGACCCGCAAGACGACGCACATGACTTATAGAAACAGGTCGGGACGATTAGTGCTTGTTCGGGAGGAGGGCCTTCGTACGTGGAGTTGAGTTGAAAGAAGCGGGTCGAGAGTTTTAGTGCTAAGTCCCTGGCACATGCACACATACACACTCATACATTGGGGTCTACATCCCGAAGGTCAGAGTCACACGGGTTCCGGCTCCGGGGATTCCAGCCTCCGCTTGAAGCCCTTCCTCAGGCTTGCGCGGCTTGTTTCTGCAAGGAGAACGTCTCCGCGGACGTGATTCGTTTCACACGCGACGTTGTCTATGGCCAGGCAGGCACTGTACGGGCAATGTCATGCATACACTTGCAACATCTTGCAACAAACTCTTAAAGGCAGAGGTCATAGCTTCGAAGGATTAAGCTTCTGCAAGGACCTGGACTCCTAACCCTCCAAGCCCCTCAACCCTAAATCCCGAACCCACACCGCACACAAAAGGCAGCTGGCAGAGAGCTCCTCTTGGATGTCTACGCTGCCGAGAAGCCCCTCAACAATGGGACATCTCCAGCAATCGTCATGATGCTGGGATCGTATTCTCCGGGTATTGCTCAGAGGTTCTTTTTTAGTTTTGTTCTATCGTAGCCAGGGGTTGTTACAGGCAATAGTCATTATTCTAAAGTTTTTGATTTCTTAGTATTCTGGGTCTGAGGTGCTTGCAGTTCTAGCTCTGTAGGGGTTTCGGGGTTCGGGCTTCGGGTTGTTCTATACTGCAAAGATTCCAGAAATTAGGGTCCGAAAGGGAGGGGGGGGGGGTCGTAGCCTTCGCCCTCTTCCGGTTCCGGGTCGGAGAATCGGAACCCTGCATCAGCCAAGGATTCACGGCGGAAACTTCATGGCTGGTAGCAAGAGCCAAGGCCCTGTCGTGGATGAGGCCTACTTCTTTGCGAGTTCGGGCTTCGTGGCCTTCAGTATCGACTACCAGCTGGTACCTCGGCCCTGAATGTAAACTTATCGAAAAGTTGCAATGCCTTGAACGAACTGCCTGAGATATTTGCAGATTTTTATGGCTTGTTACTTCAATTTAGTTTGGCTCTTTCCGCTTCCTCTTCCTTACTGTTCCCGGTGCTCTCTCCCTCTCTGCCTGCTCAGCCACAGTCAACCCCAGAGCCAGACCGAAAAACTGAAGCCCTGAACCCTCAACCGGAAAGACCGTAACCCCTGAAACTAAGCCCCAAACCCCAAGTACCCCAACCAAGTACCTTACGTGCCCTGAACCCTAAGCCTTTTGTGACAGAGCTGACTCAGGAGGCCGACAACTACCTCGCCGAGCCACCCGGGCTTCTCTCAGTCGGATCTTCTTGGCTGTAGAGAGTTGATGATGTAGCTTGGAGGGTTTAGATTAGGCAGTGAGGTTTAGGATTCGGGATTCAAATTTTAAGGCATATCCTGTAGAGCTTTTGTGGTTCTCGGTTTGGGGATTAGGGCCGCAATGCTTTGGGTTAGAATTAAAAATCGGTTTTGGGATTCAGCTGCTTCGAAGATCAGCCAAGTAAAGCTTTTTCTAGAGCTGGGTTCGGCAGCAGTCTCGCTTCCCATTTTTGGGAGGACTCCGTCTTAGGAGTGAATGGTGCACCCAAGAGAACCCCGTTTTTGGCGGACCCCCAGATAACGGAGGAACCAAGCCGTGCGGGACGCAGTGCACAATGCCAAAGCCGCTGTGCGCTTCGTCCGGAAGAATGCAGAGCGCTTCGGTGTCGATGCTGCCCACATCGCTGTATGGGGGGAGCCTTGGAATTGCGTGGGTAGAAGGCATCGTTTTAGGGGTTCAAAAACTGGCACCTGTGGGAGGGCCCTCATCTACTAGTTATGCGGGGGCGATGTGAGGGTCCCTGAGTTTCTGAAGCTTCCATAGTTGAAATGTACCAGCTTCTATTGACAAGCAGTAGCATAATCTCCACACGGGGTTTGCCCCACATCATGTGAGTTGGTGCCCGCTTCTTGAGGCTCCGATTTCAATTCCGCAGCTTCTGGGGTTTCTATTTTAGAAGGTACAAACTGTGGGCCTGCAGGTGCACAGCATGAGATCTTAAACCCTAAGCCCTGGGCCCTCGTCCGAGTCGTGCTGTGCGCCGGTTGGCCGGACCAAGGCTGTTTTTGTCTGGGCGAACATCGCCACCTTATATTTTCAATTTAGGGTTCTGGGGTCTGTTGTACAACACTGATAAGAAGAACATGAAATTATACAAAGCAGGAAAGCATGACCAACTATTCCGACCAATATATTCAGGGATTTCACAGGCTTCACCTCCAGCAAGCAAGCAAGGAATCAGCTGGTGCCATTGTGGCTGCCAGCATGAACTCCGTCTCCACCGAGGGTGCCAGTGGTACTCCCGGTGTGTCGTCCCAGGTCGGGTTCTTCTGATTGCTTTCTCCGGACTTATCTTTTTCTTCGTGAAGCTTTCCTACAGCAGCCAGGGGCTGCCTGCAAGCTTTCATGGGGTTTAGTTGGTTTATAGGGTTTGGGGTTGACGCCAGCAGGTCGCGGCAGCCCTTGGTCTCTCGGGCACGCTCTGGCCGTTTCTGGTTGGCATGCCTGGGAATGACGCCGAGGAAGTGATCAGACACTGTCCCGGGGCTTTCTTCTGAAACTCGGGTTGAAAGAGCCCAGAATGGAATCCTTATCTTGATGTGGTGCTGTCGGTGCATGGCAGGGACTTTCAATTTAGTCGCCGAGGGCGTAGAGTCGTACTCGATCCCCGCTTTACCGAGCGTCTTTACAAATTGGGAGGCGTGCAAAGCGAAGAGCTTTGTTCCCGCAGTGTTTTGAGGTTTCATGCGCGAGGGTTTGTGCGGGATTTTGGGGTTAACGCGGACCCCGAAAGTCTGAAAGTTGGAACCTGGATTGAATCTACTTTACCTTAGGGCCTTAGGGCCGAAGGAGTGTTTTGTGAAACGCAAACCGGTTTGAATCCTTAGGTACAGCTACAAACAAGGATCGTGACGCCTGTTGATGCTCTGCCCCACGTCTCCCTCAGTTTTAAGAAGCCACACAACACACCATAAGCCCGAAAGCCTAGACCCTGCAGCCTACACCCGACACCCCAAACAACCCTCAACTCTAAATCTCTGCATCCTAAACCTTAAAACTCTGTAGCAGGAAGTGACGCCCTGGTTCAACGTCTTTGGCAGCAGGGATTCCATTATGTTTCCCTTCCTGGCTGCGCCTAGACCGATCTGGACATGCATGCATCCATCCAGACAGACAGACAGACAGACACACGGCAGGCAGGCAGGCAGGCAGGCAGGCAGGCAGGCAGGCAGAGAGAGAGAGAGAGAGAGTTGTTCGCAGAACGTTCACATCCCCTCAAAGCCCCATAACACATGGGGGGCCACAAGGTCGGGGGACCTAAACAGGCCCCTACGCCAACGACAACGAGACAGACGGAGACACAGAAAGACAGACAGAGAGACAGAAAGGCAGAGAGAGAGTGTGACAGACAGAGACGCCGTGAGACAGACAGCCAGGCAGGCAGGCAGGCAGGCAGGCAGACAGACAGAGACAGACAGAGACAGACAGACAGACAGACAGACAGACAGACAGACAGCCAGGCAGACAGGCA